ATTAAAGGCAATAAAAAGCCCCAAAAATAGCAAAATATATTATACTATACTATATAGCAAATACTCAAGTAAGTACTTCAGAAACACTTACAGTACTTCAGTACTCCAGCAATATCCAAGGTACTAAAATAGATTCATGTCACCTACCTTAAAGAAAAATAGGTTTTTCTGTGAGAGTCGCAAGGAATTAAATCACTATTTTCACATGCTCCATTTTCTAGTGCAATGCCAGTGCAACTGTGCTCTGGTTCGCAATCACCCCTTTAACAAATATGCTTTTTTTTGGTTTATCTTTAGTAGAATTTTGGTCCAAAACATTTATTATGGAAGAATAAATTGTAGATTTCCTTTTGACACATCACACTGTAGAATAAATGATCATGTGACCAAACTTTTATTTACATTTAACAAGTGACTTTTACCTTGATATTAATGAACAACTATCATCTGTCTGTCTCTGTGTTATGGTGCATCTTAAACCATAGGTTATGTGAACTGAAGTGGAGTAGAAATAGCCCTAATTCACACTATGGAGATAGCATGTCTCTAAAGAACAAGTGTAAACATATATCAAGGCACAAACATATGTAATAAGACTTGGAATGAAACAAACAGAACAATCCATGTTAGGAACAGAGAAAACCACTTAAAATCTTGCAGATATCTTAAAAGTGACACATAACACTGTTTTCAGTTACTTAAGGAATGTTATTCAGTTTGTGTGGGATACAAGCTAATCTATGGACAGTCATGCAGAACAATGCACTATACAACGACGAATATTGATTCTGTGTAAACATTGTACAAAAAACATTTTCCCTTCATCCATTTTCATTCTCCATGCTTGTTTGTTTTCTTCTAAAAATAAGCTCTGTGCAGTCAAAAGGTTCATAAAATGCCAACATTAGTTAACATAAATTAATGTGATTTTATAAAAAGTTGTTTTTTGTATTGTATTCTCTTATTAAGCTTCAAAAGCAAAAACAGAAAGTAAAATGAAAACTTAAATAACTCAAAAGAGAGAGAAAGAGATCTGAATACAAAAAAATGTGACTTTTTCTTTTATTAACTAATGTTTTAACAAGTGGTTCTCAAACTGGTCCTTGAATGCCTACTAAGGATGAAAAATACTTTTCCATGTGACACAATGAGATAATAGATTATTATTATTGGTTTTACTCTTCCAACAATTATTTTCTACTTAAGCCAGTCAGATAATATAATTTATAGTTACAAATGTAATTTAAAAACAACAATTCTCAGGTAAGTTCCCTTGAATATTAGCGATTATTGTCCAATAAGGGGGTCCTTGTTCAAAGATCTATTTACAGGCGTTCAGTATGAATAGTATGAGAACCCCTGATCCAGAGCAGTAAGAAATATATATAAAAAACATAATAACACAATTGACAGAGAATGTGATGGTTGCAAATCATTGATTGTTGAAGTTCTTTAAGGTTTCCCCTCTAGGAATCAAGTCAGTTAGGGTTTTCATTATGAAAATCAATAATCATTACATGGCAGTTGCAGTCTCTCATGCAGTCTGTGTGCGTCGGGCATTGTCCTGCATGAACAGAAAGACAACAAAAAAGCAAATTTAGACAAATATAATAAAAAATGTAGAGAGAGGAGCTGCTATTTCACTATTTTAATAAACAAGGACTGTAATTTATGTTTACTAATGTATCCTGTGTAGTCTGTTCCTCAGCAATTACAGTGAATCACACAAAGTAAAATTAGTTTACATTTTACTTGCCAAACACAGAAACACAATAATCCCAAGTAGTGCCTAGCCATGCAGATGTTTTGGTTTCACTTGCTGAGGTTTTGCAATGTCTAATTCCATTCTTGATTTGAATGAAATACATATTTGTGGTGCTTAAAGTAATGACAAATAAAAATCTCAACAGCCTTTACACCAACATAGTCTCTCCAAACATTTGCCTCAATATGTACAAAAATAATATCACTGAAAAACTCCACTGAAGCTACTTTTTAAGGCTCTGTGTGAGTAGATGTAATACAGTTACATGCACAATATGACTTAAAATATCCACTTAGAGGCCAGTCTATTATTATATTTATACTGTTTAATAATCAGTTAAAATCTCCTTCCTTTTTATTTAGGGACCTGTGGCAATTTTCTTAATGAATCAACTATTTGTTGGTCAGAAAATAGATAGATAATCACATTTGAGAAGCCAGCCAAAAGGTTTTAGGCATTTTTGCCTAAAAAATGACTTAAACAATCAATGATCAAATTGTTGCCAGTTAATTGATAACTTGATGAATCGTATCAGCTCTAGGTCCCCTAAATTACCTAAAGCTGTTTGATGACATTTCCACCACTCTGTCACATATCCTACCTTTAGAAAAGACCACAGTCTTTCAGGTTGTTCTTAATAATGACATCGGTGACTGCGTCAAAGACAAACTGCACATTCTTGGTGTCAGTGGCACAGGTGAAGTGGGTGTAGATCTCCTTTGTGTCCTTTTTCTTGTTCAGGTCTTCAAACTTGGTCTGAATGTAACTGGCTGCCTCATCAAACTTGTTGGCTCCTGGGAAGATGGGGAAGTGATTTGTCATTAAGATGACAGATTAGGTTTTCTTATGTTGTGATTTGCTAGCAACCTGTGGTTGTACGGATGTTTAACTCTTAAAATGCTGCTCTCAGGTGCAGTGCGACCCCTGACATTCCACTGTGTACCTGTGTATTCTGGGTAGCAGATGGTGAGGGGGCTGCGAGTGATCTTCTCCTCAAAGAGATCCTTCTTGTTGAGGAAGAGGATGATGGAGGTCTCAGTGAACCACTTGTTGTTGCAGATGGAGTCAAACAGCTTCATGCTCTCATGCATTCGGTTCTGAAGAGAAGCAAAATTGGTCATGGCTAATGGCCTCCATTGAAAGCACAACAACACATCAGAGCTGCCACCAGGGGAAGATGTTGTTTAATATTTTACATGTAAGGAATAATCAGTCCAGAGGAGGTTCTTCAGAGCATCTTTTGGCCAAGTCTCTTCTGAGAAGTTTCTTTAAAGTCATCAGCATTTCAATTTCAAAGAAATTGAGGTCAAATGGTTCAAGTCACTTGAAAAATTAACTTTCACCACATAATTTCACTCTACTGCTTCAACTGCAAATGGATCGTTAAAGCTTGCTATTATTAAGCTATAATAAAGGAAGGATTACCTTATAATCTAAACTACCCCTGAAAATGAACCAAAAAGCAGATTTATAAAGCTCGTAAAATTATATCATCCGTGCAGATGAAGACACAGAAAGAAAGTAGATTTGTCCTTACCATCTCCTCATCCTCAGCCAGCACCAGATCATAAGCACTCAGTGCAACACAAAAAATAATGGCTGTGACTCCTTCAAAACAGTGGATCCACTTCTTTCTCTCTGAGCGTTGTCCTCCAACATCAAACATTCTGTGAAGGGGACGAAGCAAAGGAGATACACTGTGAATGTGTGCTAGTGGGGAAGAAGGTCACAATGAAAGACAGTAAGGTGAAGCTGATGAGGTAAAACAGGGCATAGAAGAGGACATTTCAGGAAGAATGATGGTGAAGAAGGAAGGAAGGAGAAAGTTAGGGTGATATTCCATCCCTGGATGTACATTAAGCTTTCATGAGGCTGGTTTGAGAACAAAAAGGTGAGGGGGTGTAGAGGTGTCTGTCAGATATCTGATAAAAGACTGCAGGGTCAATGCGGGCTAAGAGAGGCGGGCAGGCCTCTAAGTTCAGAGCAAAGCACTGGCTAATGGGGACACTGAGCACTGTGATCGAAGCTGTTACAGGTGTGAAGCGTTAACAGTTCCCCACACCCAGCAGCCATATTTTGATGAAACGGAGGACGAATATGAGGTTTCAGCAAACCCAGTTTAGGTTAGCAGGCACCCAAGAAGCACCATTTTGATGAATCTAAATTAAGCCATTGTCAAAAGATGACATTTCTCTGTATCTGTAAGTATTTCCTTTCCGTACTTATTATGGCAAACAGGACAGAATTACAAAAACGTGACTTTTTTCTTATTGATTGCCTCCATGTATTATTCAGGCCAAATATTGAGGCTGTGACAGAAGGTAAATATCAGAGAGTTTATCAGGAAACAGATCACATCAGAGCTATGTGGCTGCTGCTGCTGTTTTTTTTTTTGTTTTTTTTTATTATCCAGAACTGTTCAGCTGCTTCACAAAGTGTAGTGTATTAGAAAACAAACAAAGTAACTGATATCTATAAGAATAAGAAGAATATACCTTTTATTATAATTTCAGACACACGTATCTACTCTTTGCACTCTTATAGGATATATTTTATATATTGACCTATACACTATACATCAGTTGGACCTGCTTCAGTATAATGGGTTATCAAATGTTTAAACACTTACTGTATCTCTCGAACATTAAGAGATATAGCTATACATCCATTACTATCCCACACGAGTGCTCAGGCTGGGTCAGAGCATATTTTATGTAAGACCTACAGTACAATATTGTACCATGGAGGACACACTCAAATGTTAGGACTATATGAAGCTCTTGTTCTATTGAGCAAGAGCACAGTGGGCAGGATTTAATTCATTTCCTCAGCTCTCAGTGCAATCGTGATAATTAAGCTTTTAATTGCAGGTATAATTTGGCTTCTTAGTAGCTGAGCTGCACATTTCAAGCCAGGAGGGTCAGTCGCCCCTCGTTGCTATTAATGTTGAGACCAAAATTAAGTCTAGCAATTTGTTTAGAGCAGGTGTGGAGTCGGCTGGTGCAGTGATGTCACAGCTTACACCGAGAGAGCCTAATTCGATGCAAACACTTGTGACAACATACCCGCATTTTCCCCTGATATTCAATATCCAAGATATTGCTGTTGAACTTGCTGTTCCCTCAAAATAGTATCAAGGACAGCTCTGTTTTATTCAGTATTGGTCATTTTTCATGTATTCTTGTGTGGTTAGTAAGAGTGGCAGTTTTTAATCATCAAAAAACACTGCAAGCAAGCCTCAGAGATGAGTGAACACTAGGGGGTCATATTACCACTCAGGTTACTAGATGTCAAATACACCCTCTCACTGTGGGTGAGTTGCTAAGTGAGAGTTCTCTGGACTCTCACATTGGTTGCAAATGGCTAAAGCGCTTGTTTTCATAGAAAGGGAGACTGGAGTTTGCAGTGTTTTTTTTTTTTTTTTTTTAACATGTATTTATTTCTAAATGGCCTTACTTGAAGTGCAGTTCCTTGAAGGTGAAGTGAGTCTCCACTATGCCAGTGGTCTTGACCCGAGTTCGCAGTACATCCTGCTGGGAGGGGATGTAATCTGCTTTAGCTATCCTCTCCAGGTCATTCAGGTAACTAAGAGAGAGATAGAGATCAAGATTTCAACAAGATTTGCAAACTACATATGGACATATAGAACATCAGACAAAACAGTCTGCGATTTACTTAACTGCTTTGAACTGTAGAACTTTTCTGTGGAGTGAGTCATTTTGCTGCGTTCAATAACAGACCATTCAACTTTACTTGATATAATTTCATTTGACTGTTTAAGTGCCTTTTAAGGGATTATGCTAAGCCCTTGTAATAGTTCATTATTACCAAATGCATTATGCAGGTTAGACTCATCACTTGTTATCCTCCCAGAACTGCGGCTCCAAACTGCAGTTGGGATAAATCAAGTTTAATTAAGCTGTTAATCAAATAACATGTCAGCACTTTGTTGACACAGTGAACTAGAAAGCTGAGGGGGAGCTGCAGATTGAGGTGATAATTCTCTTTAGGTTCATCACTTGATGAACCGCTTTCATACTGTCATTTGATACATTGCTACTTTAAAAATACCGATCAACATGCAACATGATGCTATAGATCACAACTTCACATCATCAAGCCACACTAAGTACATCATTTGCTTGCTGGCAGTGTCTTGGTTGGTGTCACTGCTGGATGAACTGTGGGTTATTTTTTATGGTAAATCTTACAGCAAAGTTTTCTTGTCATAGTTGTCGACTTTACATAGCGGTGTACTCATGTTTAAGTATGAGTGTATGCGCTGAATTGGTTAAAACATATTTCCCCCATGGTTATTACTGTTGGCGTAGGGGTTTCATGGTGGCTCATTGCAGACTCGGGTCTCTGGTAGAAGGTAATATTGTATATTAGCTCTGGGGATGTAAACATGATCGTTGTCTTGCATGCAGACCATACCCATTATTATTTCCCTGCAGTAGTATGGGCTCAGTTAGAACTCATTGTGGCTTGTGTCACACACACACACACAAGATACTGTAGGTAGTCATCCACACATCCACACTGCTTTACTATTCATCACATTATAATACAGTATATTCACCTTGCTGACACTGTTCACACTGTCCACACTTATCTGCACTCCTTGCAAACTTAAAGCTTATATAAACATGTATGTACTTACCTGCTGCATCTCAACCTCAACGCAACATAACACTTTAGAAATGATTTGTCTGTTTGATCTAAACCGCACATTTCTATGCTGCATAGCTGATGTCTTGGCCTGCTGCTGCATATCTGGCGGTTTTGCTGTGTTTCAATTTATCCACCTCAGTTCACTAGATATTACATCTTCTGCAACAGATATACATAATACCTGGTGTAAGGCTCTGTATCTAATGCAGTTTGGTGTATACTTGTGGGGAGTGATATGAGGTCAGAGCGTGGATGCCAAATATCAATTGTGCAAATACTCTGTACTCACATATAAATCTCCAAATGAAATGGCTCACTGAAATGTCTATTGCAAACCACTAAGGGATTACCACTAGACCTACTAGTACTAGTGTACATACAATCCCTAGTGGGAGGATTTCTATGGCAACATGCACTATTCTTTACTGATTTGCTCCATTTTAGGGAATCTATGATGTTTGTAAAATAAATGTTTTATTTTTCCTGTTGTGATTTGATTAAATACAAAATTCCAAGGTAAAAAATACTCTGAAGTCAATCTGATGATTTGTCTCTTAAAAGTAAGATAATTGGGCCTTCCTTACTTTAAAAAGCAGTATTGAAAATATGCAAAAGGTTGAAAGGAACAGGTACATTTCACACAGAAGAGAGAAAAAGACAGTATGTTGTTTCCTTCTCTCCAGCTATCAAACTGGCTGCATCTATTTCCTTTTCACTCTTGTCTTGCTTTCCCACTCTCCTTCTATGCCTTCATGCTTTGTGTAGGGGAGTGAGGAAGCATCTTCACCATGTTTGACACATCCTGCCCAAAGTACATAAAGGATTGCATCATCCAAGCTGGAAGCTTTAGTAGTCGAATCAAACTATGCTTCACGCGCAGAAAGAGATATAAATCCAGCATTTTAGTTGTACAGATCACAACATTCACAATAATTAATGAGCTAATAAAACCTGGCAGACTTATTTAAGTGTAACAACAGAATAAATGATTAAACAAATATTTTTCTTTCACGTCATTGCAGCCATTACAAAATATTTCCAAATGAGATGAAAGAGTTATAATGAACACAGCGCACAAAGCAACATTTCTGACTTTTATATTGCACTACCACAAAAGTAATCAACTTGTTAAAAAACCCACAAAAATCAAAGGGGTCACTTGGGGTTTTTATTATCACAACTATCAATTCTCATAGTTTACTTGAAGGACAATTTCCTTTGAAGTAAACGATGACTCTCATTTTTTTCCTCCCCCAAGACAAACTATTCTGTGCTCTGCTTATCAAGTTACAATATTAAAGAATCAAACCCAGAGAGGGAGAAATAATCACTAAAGGGAAGTTATTGGACTATCTTTCCAGTCTTATAACTCCCTTGAGAAGTTAAAGACTGCAGCGCATATAAGAGAAGCTGAAAGGACTGCACCATTAGATCCATCACAACACCAGGATAAGAACATGTACTACCTGATGGCAACGATCAACCAAATACAATCAACACTGTCACTTTCTTGAGCTGTTTTATAATCGTATTAAAATAATACTAAAGTGCAGGCACTTGCAAGATGAGGAAAAGCGGACACCTGACGAATAGCTGTAAGGCTTCCCACTTCCTTACATTTACATTTATAGTGGTGGATCATAGAATCCAGTGTATGCAGCAGCAGACTGCATATTGATTGATGTACAAGTAGAAGAGGATATGTAGGGACAACTTTGATAAATGGCAACCTGAATTGGACAAAAGTGAGTAGAATATTAAAAATCATAGATTCAAGCACACCAACACACTGGAAAATATTTCCAACTTTGTTGAAGTAGAATCATTTTTGGAGAAAAACATATATTTGATTCCTAAGTGGGATCACAGCATGAAATACACATACAAATTCACACTCACTATGCAGCAGAGTCATTGAGCTGGTACTCTCGCGACCGCGTAAAGCAACTCTGTATGCCGTTGTCGCCCCACAGTCGCCTGATCACGTTGGCAAGGTCATCAGGAAAGATGCCCTGTTCTTCAGCAGCTGCAGACAGGGCAAAGAGCTGCTGGGCATCGTCCTGCAGGAGGCGATAAGGACACAGGACAAGACTTAGTTATCCTACACAAGATAAAAAACATACATAATCTGTAATCACTGTATATATTTGTGTATTGAGTTAAACAATAATAATGCATGATGAAAGGATAGGGCTTGCTGTGTAACTTTGGAAGATATACCCATTGTATTAAGTCTAAAACACACCGCTTAAGGCTCATATTAGCTTTGTCTGACTTTGCAGTTTGTCCTTTAACTCTTATATTAAAATTTCTACTTCTTTTTGCAGCCAACATGGAGAGGAACAATTACAACTACCAATAGCTTCTCAAGTACATTTGAGAGCAAATGTGAACCTTTCTTTTAAGGGCACAATAAAATAAGTTGTGGTAGCTAAATGCTCTTCAACTCCTATGGACACATGGGAACTATTAAGATGAAAACTTAATAAAATCTATGGAAATATTAAACAGTCTAAATGAAATAAGTGACTGTGTGTGAGCTACAGTTGAGCAAATCTGTTACATACACCCCCATACTGAATATTCTCAGCCACTAGTAAAGCATTTTGATACATAATGCTAAATAAATGTAGTCATGGAAAGCCTTGTCTCTGAACTAGGGCTGAGGAAGTAAAGGTTATGATGTTAGCAATGTATGGTGATGACAATATCACTGAAACGAATGATAAAGTGATGCCAGCCAATCTGGACTGAGCACATGTAAGATATGTGAGATATGTTAGTGTGACTCAAGGTAAACCACATGTGGGCTTGATTTCCTGCTCTGTCCCACCTTGTTTGTTTCTCACGACTCTCCGTCTTCCTCTTGGCATGACTTTAATTATATTCTCTGAGCTATAATTTATGTCTGGTCTTCCTTGTTCATTTGCATGTGTCAGCATAGCAGTGCTGCAGGAGGGGCTCTGTTTCTGTCTACAAGGATTCTGAATATGTATGTAGTCATCATTAAAATAAAGGAATGATTTTGACAATTTTGGCAGGAAACACTATCTTACTGTGTGTGATGGTCACATTTGATGAGAAATGCAGTTCTGTTTCAACCTGCTTTCCTGCCAGGCAGCAAACATCTGCGCTCCTAGTCGAGCTTTTATATTTTTAATTGATTTTCTTCAGCCGATTGATGTTAATTTGTTACATTGTTCTTGGTGAGCATCAATCAGCACTCACTACTCTTTACTCTGAGGAAGATAACAGCTTTCGGAGTTTTTGTGTCTGCACTCCAATGTTTGAAATAGACAATAGTCTTATTTGTGCTTGGTAATTTGTTTTATTCTAGTGGCATTTTGTTGCAGTGGCTATGACTAGTGAGTTTATACACCACCAATGAAAGAGACACCTTTTTTGTTGGATTATAAGTCATGCATACAACAGTGAATCTCTAGGAATGTGATATGTTTGTTTGAACTCTTCCTCTTCCTGTTCCCTCAACATAATTATATACTATATATACAATAGCTTGGATAATGTGTGTGTGGATGTTTTGGTTTCATGTATGTTTTTGTCTGCATGCATGCCTGTACACATGCACAATATGTGTGTGTGTGTGTGTGTGTGCATTTCTACAGTGCTGCTGTGTGCAAGTATGGGCAGGCTAGCACACTAATTGCTAGTGTGGGAGTCTGTGAGAGTATCGTCACGTACATGCAGCCATTTGACAGATCTGTCAGAGGGGGAAAAAAAGTCTATCCATCCCGCTCTAATGACCACAGCAGAGTCCTCAATCCTTCTATTACAGCTTCAGTTACAGCACACATACGCTGACTTGCCTGTAAAATCACACACACACTCCTCCTCAGAAATGAGTTCAGCCACTGTTAGACCTCACTGACAGCTTGTTCATTGGCTGATAAGGGTTCACAGGGTGACGCAGACTGGATCTCTGCCTGTAGCTCTGCCTTGCTGTTGATGCTGATGGTGTGTCTGTGTGTGCACTGTGTGTCTGTGTGTTTCTGTGTGAGAGTTTAATGAACGCGCTGATGAAGTTCTGTGAATGTGTTTAATTAGGGCTGCACTTTATTATTATTTTCATAAAAAATTAATCAAATAGTTTTGATTAATTTGAGCATTTAATCTATAAAATGTTAACAATAATCACAGTTCACAGACCAATGGTCCAAAATCCCAAACATATTCAATCTACAATCATATACAGAGGAAAGCTGAAAAGCCCAGTAATGCCTCTCAAGCTTTCAGTTCTCATAAGGAAAAGCAGTTTACATTGATGAGGGTCGAAATTCTTAGTAATTTTTTAAACAGTGGGTCTACAGAAGGAGGCCTTTCTCTTGTTGATTTTGTCGGCTGAAATGACAACTATTGCTGGCAGATTCGATCAGCTGTCGCTAAATAATTAAACTAACGTTAGTTCCACAAGTTGGCTGGAAACCCTTGGCTGACATTTTCGTTTCTCCAGCTGACTCCTTTTAAAACGCGAACGTTGTAAAAGAAAAGGGTCTTCAATATGCACTTGATGATGCTATACATAATATAATGCTAAAAGATGAGGACAAAAAAAGACCAAACTGTTATTTCATTCTAACATAAACCTCTTTGGCTGCTTAGCTTATATACTTATATCGCTATATATATATAAATATTATATTAGCTACTTTAATACGCTTTCAAAACAAGGCATTAATTTGTGTCATTGCTGAGGCAGCAGAAAGGACCAGGCAACTAAATGTGCAGTTCAAATGTGTACTGCCAGCACTTCTGAATAAATCCAATTTCAGAAACAGCCCTCAGTGGCCTGTCTGCTGCTGCAGCAGCTGCTAGTACTAGGCACACTTGCAGCCTCTTCTCTGTCTATTACAACTTTGAGGAGAGAGCAGATCAAAGATGGAGTCTCGTTAAGGACCGTTTCCCTCCAGGTTAGAAAGATGGATCAGAAAAGAGTGTTCTAGTTTCTAGTACCAGCAGCTATTTAACAGCTGAAAAAGGGCTGCTGTGAACAGGTGGAGGTTGGAAATCACAAAATCCCACATTTGTTAAACACTAGCACAGTTTAGCAATGTTATTGGCTGAACAGGAACTGCAGAGAAAAGGCATGATTTGAGAAACAAGCTTGTTTTCCTGGAAGCATCACAGCCTTGAAGTAATCTTTGTTTACTGGGTTAAACTGGAATACGGATAAGTGAGGGAGTAAAATGTTTGTTTCAGAGATAATGGGCAGTGCATGCAACTGACTTTTTCCTCCCAATTATTGTGAAATAGAAAGAAAAGTGAAAGGGACAAAGTGGGTTGTAGAAACAAAGGCCAACTCTTGTGATTTGAGTTGTAGGCAAGTATACTAAGTCTTGAGGACTACACCGGATATACAACTGCAAGGTGGTGTTGATAAAAGAGGCTTTGTTTTGTTATGGCCTGAGGGAGATCATGATCTGTCCACAGTTAGTGAAGCCAAATGAATTCTCCATTCTCACACAATGATGATGGCTTTTAGACCGGTCAGCTTTCTGCTCTCACTTTATTAAAACCACTGATTTTTAACAATTATCTCAGTATATTTGCAATAGTTTTGACATTTTCAGGTATGTACGTGATAACACCTGCTTGTATCCTGTACTCAAGCTGACTCTGTTCATTACAGTTTTGTCTGATAAAGCAAGTTACTGAGCATGAGATGAGTGTTTCCTGCTTGTGGTCAACTCATGACAACTTATGCCATCAGATGTAAGTTTTTGTGGAGGATAAAAATAACAAATATTTATGTAATGATATATACAGACATATGTGACAACAAATGCTATAACTAATAGAATATGTTTTTGAGTGTTTGTGTGCTTGTGTGTCTTACCACTCTGGAAGGGTTGCTGTAGTCTATCTTGAGACTGGCCATGGCTTTAACAATGGCCATAATAGACTGGATGGTATTACTATAAACCACTGCTCGGTACTGCTTACACTCATCTTCTGAGTAGCCATCTTCATGGATGATCCTGAGAATGGCAAAAATATGCAATATTTATTTAAGTGTACATTGAAGGGTAGGTATAGTTTTGTCAAGTCAGTCCTCAAGCACTAGTAATGTGTGAAGATGTTGCTTGCCGCAATCATCCCGCTTGTTCATACTGATCCATTCCTGAAGCAATTCCACTGTAAATAATGTAGGACAAAATCTGCAGTTTATGTTCTATGAAAAATGCATTCAAATGTTTAAATGTTTAAGTTAATATGAGTTAGATAAATCAGGTGGTCACCTTCCAAATTTACAGTATTTTTTACAACAAAATTCCCCAAACTATCCCACCACAGAAATATGGTCTTCAGAAATGCAGAGGGAATTTTGTACTAAAAAGATAGATATAAATAAACACTTTATCGGGGAATCACTCATTAATTAGTGGACAGAGCTTCCAGGTCTGTGTAGTGAAGCCTACATAGAAGTGTCTTAAACCTGCATTCTATGTAATGGCCAGGAGGGCAGCAAAAAAAAAGTCTCATAGTATTTAGTCATGAGTCTTATGGAAAAATGACCCTACTTCTCACTTGATTTTGTACCTCTTTTACCTTTTACCTATGGTCTCAATCACTAGTTTCAA